CCCCAACCCCACAGTCGCCTTGGTTTTGCTGTCATAGCACATAGCCTCTTTTTGCAGAATCTGCTGGAGTTGTAGTGTAACTTTGCATCTGCAGCGTGCGCCAGTTATTCTAGCCTGACACTTCCGTGACTCAGAAGCCAAGTCAGTCCTTTGGGTAGAGTAGGAAAACATCTTTAACTCCAACCTGTTCTTGTTGTCTCACAATTCTAGGAGAGTGCAGAAATGTCTCGCTTTGAAAATAAAGGGCTGATACTGGGCGTAATGGCAGGGGGTGCAAAACCTGATGCTGATTTGGTACCGTAAGATCCACAAGCCTGGTGCAGCTGTGCGTATACCTGCGTTCCCAGATGTAGGTAACAGGCTTAATTCTGTGCACTTGCAAAATGAAGCTTCTAACGAGCAAGGAACAGTGATGGTTTTACACGGAAGGCAACTGCAGATACTAGAAAAATTGAACGGCTTGCTAGTAAGCGTGGACGAACTGAAGAGAGAGGTGAAATTTCTGAAAGAAGCTATCCCAAAACTTGAAGAGCTTGTTCGAAATGAGCTTGAAGGGAAGGGAGATGCCCAGAGAGTTAGCCCATCGCACAGAGCAGCAAGGCGGAGAAAAGCTGAGACACCTTCTGGTGCAACAGAAACTACCAGCTCTGAGGAGGCCGAAAGTGAAGGAGGGTGAGTCAGTAATGTTTTGTATAAACTACAGTACACAGAGTGCAAGTTGCATCATTACCTATGTGAAACTTTGTGTTGTAAACAGGAGCCCTTCTGAAGTTTTATGTATGTTTTATATTTCTGTACATCCAGGGGGAAAAAAAAAAACACCTCAAAAATTCAGATTAGTAATTTTTAGACCAGAGAAAACTCTAGGTGACCATCTTTGAATCTGCACTATGGCAGGAGTTGGCTGAACACCAAGTATAATAGAAATTTTTAAGGGTGCGTTTGGTCATAATCTAATGCAGTATTGCTACATAGCTATGCAACGAGAGGCAAAGTTCAGAATAATGGTGTGATTTTAAAAGTGCTTCTAGTAAGAAAGTAGTCTTATCTTGTATCTCTGACAGAGTTTGTTCAAACTGTAGGAATGCTCTGGTGCTTTTCATGATAATTGTCTTCTGTGGGCCTTAAAGATGAGTTATTACAGTGTTCTGCCAAAAGGTATTACGTGCTATGAGAGCTGTGTCCAAATGCAACATGTGAACAAATGGCAGTATGTTTATGTGTATTTGCTATTGTACACACTTTCTGGTGGCTTAAAAGTAATCATGCTGTAGAAAGTTCCTGGTTTTTATCACATGTTGTAGTCCCATTGTGGTTAATGGGATCTTTTATACACGATTTGAGGAACATGCTGAAGGATCAGACGTACCTGGAGTCCAGGAGAAGGATTATGTTTTTGTCCTCTCGTATGTTACCTAACATACCCTCTAGTACTAATGTGAAAATGGAGATGACGGTTACTCTCCTGTAATTGCAACTTTGTTTTGATATAATCAGATTAGATACTTACATGCAATTTAATAAGGGTGTGTTTATAGCAACTGAGTTTTTTGAACCATCTCCTCAGTGTGTTATACATACCTGTGTAGGCAGCACTGTGTCTGTAGATTACCTGTCTTAAATAACTTGTTTCTTTAAGGATGTATTAGTTAACTGTAATATTCTGAATTCAGCAACATGCTGCATATAATAATTCATGGAATTCTATTTTTAAGAGTTCCTCCAGATTTATTTTCAGTTCCTGTGGGCAGAATTTCTTGTTGTGTTACATCCCAGCCCACACGCTTCACGAGTCTTGTATTTTCATACTGTATTTTGAGACCTGTCAGTTCTGTTATGAACCAGTTCTTTATTTTAAGTATCCAGTATCAGCAGGGATATTCAAAGACATTCCCCCTTCATATGGTGTAGAAACATTTCAGTTCTAGTAGTTTCTCAGATTGTTTTATCCCTTAGTTGGTTTGCAGAGGCCTCTATGTTAGGCGTAAAATACTTGGCAATGTAGATAAGGCTAAAGGACCAGTTTATGAATAATCAGGTTCACAGACGCAGTATAGGTTATTCCACACCTGACATTTGAGAAGATCCCGTTTTCTGGTCAGGAGAGATGTGTTGCTGTTTCAGAACTAGCCAAGGAAACTTGTCTGTTCAGGTTCTTCTGTGTGATGGAGAAGCTGATGAGATGATCCAATCCAAGTGATTATTATAGTGTGCAAGATCTTTGAATGCGTCCTTAAGAGAGGACTTCTCTGACAAGTATTTGTATATAGTCAGAAGGAAGGAAGATAATTCAAGGTTATAGATAGTTTTAGTCATTTGGGTATGTGCTTTTCCAGTGCTATTTTTCAATCCCTTTTGGAAAGAGGTGTTGTTTTCCTTCTAACACTTTGTACTTGATGTGCTCGTTTTGCGTATCTTTTCTAAATTTAAAATAATTTTATTTCATTTAAGTAATTTTCTTTTTGTATTTTTTTGTTCCTCTTGCAAATGGAAATAAGTTGTTAATCCTAATGTGTGTACAGTTACAATGTATATAGCTTTTTATGAAGTCTTACGTAATTTTAATGACGGTGGAGCATGTTCTGTGAGAGTTTGCTGTGAGAGACCATGACAATACACACTTTTTTTTCGGTTAATGTGCATCACCACTTCACGTATGGTAGGTATAACAGCATATGCATTGTTTTCTACTATTCTGTGGTGAATTCCGCACACAATAATGCATTCAACTGCTAGTTTGTGCACTAGAGAAATAATTTTTCTCTGTTACAGATTAAAACTTTTTTCACTTTCCGTATTCTGTCTAAAGTACATGTGACGTGTTTCACTGCCTCAGCAGTATTTTCATAATCTAGGAGATAGGATTTTGCTTGTGTTAAGCACTTCTGGCTTTAACTGACAAATGGGTAGATGCTGGAAATTGACAGATGATGTAATCCTAAGAGTTTTATGGATTTGTGCTGGGTGACTGCATTGGTTTCAAATTTGTAAACTTCTTCCAGAAAAGCTTTTGATACTATCCATTTTTTTCCATAAAATATTTGAAGCTGGCAGTCTCTGAAATGATCCTCACTGCTTTGATCTGTTCTGGTCATATTCTCAGTGTCACTTTTGGTATTCAGCATCTTGGGAAGAGAAGCTTTGTACCTTCCATTCAGGCTACCTGTTATTAGGTAAAAATATCTCATTTATTAAAAAGCATGTGATATTTTTCCACTTACAGAAATATATAATTTTTGAAAGGCTTCCCATGGGTTGTTTTATCAGTATTGGTTTGCCTTCTTTAAAGTATGCAGTCAACAAGAAATTAAAATTTTTGGCATTCTCATCAAGGTTTAAGATGGTCTGCTCCACATTTAAGTTCTTTGAGGATTCATAAAGCACATAAATAGAGGAGATGTAACAGAATTTCCCAGGACAGTGGAGGTGAGAGGGAGTGGGGAAGAGATGACCTGTCCTCTCTGCTGTTTCTCAGCACAAATGTGGCCTGGAGATTGTGTTTCTGTAGGAGAGCTGGGATAAGGAAAAGCTTGATGTAGTATGGTCTGATCTTAAAAGATTATTCTTGCATGATGTTTTATAATTAGCTCCTTATGGGTTGACATCATCTGTTAGATAGTGATCTACTTCACACTTTTTCCATTTGAGTCTCTCAGTGAATATTCTCTTGTGACTTATCTGATGTCATATGAATTTGATGTTTGGCCATGACAGTTTGATACAGTGCTGCTGGAAATCTCTGCTGGGCTTGTTTGGAGTGACAGGGCTTGGCTGTCAGCCCAGCCTTGACCTTTATATTTTTGCTGGGATAGTAACATTTTCTAATAATCCATTTTGTCTGTTTTCTAACACTGAAGCAGTAATGATGATAGAAATTTTAGTAGATATTTATGCAGCGAAGATAAAAATTGCAACATCGACTTGGACTTCCAAACACTGATTCCTTACTTTCCTGTCTACCTGCTTAGGTAGCATTTGATGCAGTGGCCAAATTCCTGTAACTAAGGACTGTAATGGTTGCAGTATTGTATGCGAATTTGAAATGGTCTTTACAGCTTAGTTGTTGCTACTTCAGAAGATCTAGTGCCCTTATTTTAGGTTGGTAATTGCACAAACCCTCAGTGCGTTTATCTTTTAGTTAGGGATGGAGAGGGAATCCAAACCATGTGAGGAAAGGTACTCCCCAAAAATACTTCACATCATAGGATTATGTATTGGAACTAAAAGACTGCCCCCCTAGCCCCACCAAATCCTTTGCACTTTTGATTAAGTTAGTGCTCTTACAAATGCAGCCTATATATGATGTAGCTCTGCACCCACTTCGAAATAACTCTGGAAAACTAAGATGCTGTGTTTTTAAAGATGCTTCAGAAAACCAAAATAATGTTTGGTGACTTACAAATAAACACTCTGCAGGATACAACATAGGATGTGTCATCAACTTTTTCAGCATCAAGGTCATGTAAAACAAATCTGTAGCAATTTATGGACTTTTCCATCTTTGCTTTGCTCCATGTTGTTTTTCAGTTTGAACATGTACACATGGTTTATGTATGTATTGTTTTATCCAAATGTATTTTTGACTCCTCTTTCCCATACTACTGGATTCGTTTTGCAGCGGAACTGTCATGCCACCTCTAGCACTTCTGTAGCTTGATAAGCCGTTGTACTTGTTCATTTACAGGCTGTAAGTGTATCTGCTCGTGTTTTAGTTCTGGTCGCTTCTGAAAGCAACGTATTGAAAACAGAATATTTAAAAGCCATGATTCTTAACCTCCATTTATATTGCTAATGTTCTGTTCTGGTTATGTTTCTGGAAAAAAAAGATAGATTTCATATATTTTGATGGTCATGGCCTATTTAGATTATTCGGTTGCTTGTGCGTATAGTACATTTCATGTATGCTTTTTCTACTCATAGTTACCATTTAAAAAAAACCTCTGAACCTGGCAGCTAATACTTTTACATTATTATTTCTCATCAGAACAGTGTTTTCGAAAGTGGAAATGCAGATTAGGCTTTTCTAACCATTTTTTGTACATAAGCAAAAAGCTACTTTTTAAAAATAATATCATTCAGCTGCTCCTGTATGAACTTGGACGACCCTAACATATGCTCAGCACTTTGGACAGTAAGGCCACCTGCTTATCTCTGCATGGTATTTATGACTTTTGTAAGTATTTATTTGTCCTTGGCTGCCTTGTGCTGAGTACTGTGCGCAAAGCGTGATGAATGATTATAAGCTCTTTCCCAGTTTCAGATGTTCTGACCTTCAGAATGTGCAAAAGAAAAAAGCAAAGAAATTGATAAAAATGGTGTTATAGTTTGCATTTAGATCTTATGTGTCTTAACAAAACATTGTGTAAGTGATTCTTACACCACTTACGTTTTGGTTATTAAGCTCATTCTTATTTCAAAAAATAGGGAAATTGAGGTAAAGAGTTGAAGAGGCCTATTCAGGGTTACAGAGCATGTCTTAATGCACATTAATGATTTAAAGTGTTCTGCATTTGAAACACAAGGATACATGTGTTTCTAATAGGTATCTGCATATTTTAGGTGTGGTACTAGGCAGCAGGAGAGTGTAATTACTTGCCTGTTATGTTTGGAATATGATTATGGTGTCCCTTTGAAGATAAAAGTTTTGTAATAATAACAACAATAAGCTTGATGACATGAATAAAAACTCCTTTAAAGTTGGACGACTGGAAGAAATTGCACTCCGAAATTTTTGCATTTGAATTTAACAATGCTTTGTGAATATTTTTAGAAAAGATGGTTATTATTCTCTGTGATTTTAGTTATCTTACAGCTCATACTGACTCTGAAGGAGACTCCGAGGAGGAAAGGGGATGTATGAAATCAACCAATGCCAGTGTGAAATCAGAAGAAGAAGAGTTATTTAATCTTTTACAGCAGGTGGACAGTTTGCACAAGGGTTCAGAGAATGATAAAAAAGAGGCCTTCAGACTTCTGCTTGAGAAAGATGACAAGGTACTAATGGGTAAACTTAGTATTATGTTGCTATTAATTTATGCTTTGCACTGCTTTTGAGAACTTCCTTAATACAGTCATTAAAATGCACACAGGGATGGAAGAGGAAATTTCATGTGTATTTTTAAAATACAGTGAAAAAGAAATATTTCAAGGTGATGTCAGTATTCATGTTGAGTGGACATAGAAGTTTTATTCTTTTATACCCCACCCAGGCTCAATCACTTTGCTGCTTTGTTTGATGTACGTATTCTTGCAGGCGACAAAGGAAGATCATGAGCTTTTTCTATGTACTTACTTTTGCTACAAAGTACAAAGGTACTTACTTTTGCTGGTTTTAGAATGGTCTATGTGAGGAAGTCCTGTGGAATTAAGTAGTAACCAGACCAAGTGTTCTCAAGAAATCAAAATATGAGCCTATAGTCTGCTTATCCCTTTCTGGTATACTTCATGTGAGTTTTTCCTTTGACTTTACTGTGCACATATGTAACTGTAGATAAAATTTCAAAGTGGTTTGATGTGCAGTGCTTAATCTAGTGTAGCAATTTCTTCTGATTTGGTAAACATTAGTTCTGATTATATTTTCATTTGCATATTAAAAAGCCTTTGGAAAGTAGATGAGATACTAATTGGGAGAGAGCCTGGTGCTTATGGCATACCTAAAGAAAGTATTACATCACATCATTCAGGGATCTGTTGTGGTTTACTGGGTTACCTTTTTATTTTTTATAATAAAAGAACTTTAAAACTGGTTTATGAAATAGAACCTCTTTAGACAGCCCAGGGTATTTCCAAAAGCTTTCTTCTCTTTTGGTCCTGAAAAATTGGTCATCAGGTTGTCACATAAACTAGAAGTAGTATGGAAGGATGCAAAATAACCAAAGCTATATGCCATGTTCCAATAACCTGCTCTAAGCATTATGAAAGGAAACTGTTTAAATCACATTCTGATCAGTTTAATTACCCAGCTGCCATCTACTTCCAGTATGAAAACTATGTGGACTTCCTTTGGAGACTTGCACGTGCTTACGGAGATCTGTTTGATATGACTACTGATGCTGAGGAGAAGAGGAAATATGCTACTGATGGTAAGCAGAGAAAAAATGTTTATATAGAATTCAATCAGAATGTAGTGAAACACACTTTGAACTTTGGTTAAGTTTTCCAATCCAAGGAATTTCCAGTCCAATAAGTGGGAGCATTTGTACTGTAATGGTAATGCTTTGCGCAATAAACTGCCACGGTATACGACTTCAGACTCTTCTTTTCTCACTGGAGGGATCCAAAATTGGTGAAGTATTGTGAGTCACAGTTGAGGGCTGTTGACTCTGGATGGTGCTTTAAAATCCTGTATTTTGTTGAGAATCAGATGGATACAGAATGTGAAAAAAGACAGATGCTGTCAGTGCAGTTTCCTAATTACACCTTTGGGAGAGCGAGATGAATAAATAAATGCCAAGGCAAAGTCAAGGTTTATTTTTCTGCTTTCTTGTGGCAAAGAAGTGCTCCTCCATATCAGCAGCCTCTTTTGTGGTGATGATGGGGCTGAATCTTTGTGAATCTGGAAAAACTGTTGACCAGAAGCAGAAGCCATGTGTGACAATTGATGTTGCTTCCAGGCATTTCTCCCCATGTGTCCTGTTTGACAGTTAAACCTTAACAAGGTTCTGGTTTTCTTTTTCACAGCACTTTTTCTTTGTTGCTTTTAAAAGCATTGCCCTTTCTTTCACTGTCTGGATGCATATTGGCCAGAGGTACAGTTTACACTTCCCTTTTTATTTTGGGCCTTCTTTATTACAATAAAACCTACATCTTTTCTACCTGTGTCACTCTCCTCCAGTCAGCACACTGTTCTTACAATAATCCTTTTGCCTGTATCTGGGAACACTTCTCTCTCTCCTTTGTTTCTCCATTGCCTCTCCCTTTTTTTGCTGCACCGAATTCAGGTTTTATAAGTGTATTCCAAGTCCAGGTTATTTTGTCTTTTGTGACTGTTTTCTCATTTCCTACTTTTTATTCTGTCAGCAGTGATAACATCACCGACAAAGCAGTTTTGGCTGCCCTTTGTCATCCTTAAAGGCAGTGTCATGCCTTTGCGTTTTCATTACATGCTCCATAGCCAGCCTCAGCTTTTCCAAGGTCCTTGTCCCTATTCTTTTGTCATCTAAGACTTGAAGACTTGAAGTCATGAAGACTTGCACTGTCTTAGCTACTTCATTGATACTGTCTTTGCTTTAGTAGCAACTTGGCTTCTTTGTATGGAAATGACCCAGTGCAGTGAGGATTATGACACAAACTAAATTACAACAGTAAACTGTTGTTGGATCCTTTGCTTTTCCCAGTGACTACATGTCGCCTCAGTTGATGAAAGATAACGGCATAGCAAAACGCAGGGGGAGATAAAGAATGATGGAATGAAATTGGGTCTTAGGTGTTGAGTAACAGCCTAGTTTTGACTCATTGTCATGAAGTGGTGGGTGGCGGCAGCCTTTCTCTTCTCAGTTTTTTGAAGTGATGCAGAGGGATTGAGACTGCTGGGGACTTGGCAGTAGTTTTGTGGTTTTTTTCATTCCGCTGGGTTGGAGGACTGTGTATGCTGTTCTTTGTTTTTATGAAGTTAACTTGCAATGGAGAAATGTCAATGTGGCTTAATTAGTTGCAGCTGAGACTTTGCAAACAGCAAGCATCTCATCTGAACTTCTTACTGGGAGCGTGGGTTGGATCAAATCACCTACCATCATCTTTATTCAGTTAAAAGTGGAACTTAATGGAAGTCTTTGTGCTGGAAAGGAACTTCAACTAGTTCGTTCCTGTAGCCAGGGCAGGAAACAGCTTTGCTGGTTCTTCTGACAGGTGCTTTTCTAACCTGCTTTTAAGTGTCTTCAGTCTTATAGGCAGGACGGCCTCCTTTGGCTGTCCAGTCCAATCCTTCCCTGATTTAGCTGTGTCTGAATTGGATTTTAAGAGAAAATACTAAAATTACACCCATATTTATTTATGTATGTATGGATATGTAAAGGTAGGATGTTACATTGTTCATCTAAATGTTTACAAAAGCAGGAAGCAATTTTTTCTTTGCAGCTAGAGTGTATCAGGTTTCTTTGTTCTTGGGAGTTGCCTAAAATGTGGAAAAGTACAATAAATCCTTCAATATATTGTATTCCATTTACAGGAAAGATTAAAGCTGAAAAGGCTGTTCAGCTGGATGCCAGGAGTGCTGAGAGTCACCAGTGGTAAGTTTGAGAAGTTGTGCACTGTTGCAAACTTATATGTATTTATCAAATCCAACAAAAAAAAAATCAGCTGCCTTTGGCTCTAAATAGTGCCCACAGCAAGTTACATTTATCATGCTGCACTTTGACATCAATTTCATAAATTATTCATTAATACCTTTTCATAGTTTTATGGAACTCAATCACCAGTTGCAGCTAAAAATTACATTGAAGTGTTCCGTGAAGCATTTACTGCAGCATGTGAAACAACTCAATAATCATACTTCAGCACATACTGTGAAATGTAGAAGGGAGTATTTGCTTAAACCAGTATATCATTGCTCAGAGAAGCCATAGTTTTCTATTTACCTTCTCCTTCAACGCTTCGCAAAATAGTTTTAATTGACCTTGATTTTTGTCCTTTCTTTTACTTGTAATAGTCTAAATTCTAATAATTAAAAATAGACAATGAGAGGACTATGGAAGTTTCAGTTCCCCCAAGCTTGGCACTTGGATTAATTTTGTAGACCTTGCTAGGACTAACAAACTTTTTGCAAATGTAAATATTTTTTATCCAATCAACATTATCAGGTAAAAGATAATTCTGCTGAGTTCTAACTGATATTTCCTCACCTTACTATTTTATTAATCAATTTTACTCAGCTCCTGATTTCTTTTCTAGTATCATTAGCTTTTCGTTTCCGTTTTAGTTTCTATGTTCTTCATTAATATTGTCATTACACATGTAGGATGGAATTTAGCTCAACTTTTACGTATCTAAACCAAATCCTTTTATCCCAGGCTCCCTTCACAACCTAAATAGAAGTAGCCACTTCTGGAGTGCAGTTCATCTGAGTCCATTTTGCCCATCTGTTCTAGGGTGAGATGAATTTCTCCTGAGGTTCAGTTAACAACATCTCCATTGCCAGTAAAGGGAGCACGTGTCAGCTAGCTCAGTTTTAGATAATTGATTAGACACAGATGTTTTTGTTTAATTAGGTGACTCTGTCTTGGTGTCTCTTGCTCTAAACTTCAAAGATGGCTATGTTATTGTTCCACACTGTGTTCCTATGAGCATTGCCATATTTCTATGATTCTTTTTTTCCTTCTGTTTAGAACAGCTAGTGATCCAAACACCTGCTTTGTAACAATGAGGTGCTAGAAGTGGTGTGTTGTGAGAATCTTGACTAAGTTTCACCATCACAGGTAGATCTGCGTTTGCTCTTTACAGTGTCTTGGAAGTAATGATGATGCCTGTCTGGAGGTGAAGCCTAGGCCCCAGCTGGCTATAGTGTGGCAGTTTAAGATAGGAGTCTTGCTTTTGTCCTTACCCAGCTGCTTGTTACTTCCTATCAGCTGGACATTGCCATTGTGGCAGCAAAACTAACAGAAGAGGATCACCTGAGCATCACTCCTCAGTGCAAGGGGATTTGAAGCCCACATAGCTTGAACACATGCTGAAAGCAATTCACAGCCATTTCTGCTGTTGGCCTGACCACAGCCATGATCAGTTCTTCAAGGTAGTGCTGGTGTATAAACCAGCTCCTCTCCTCTCAGCTAGAGCTAGGTGTATAAACCGCCACAAGATCACACGCAAGCACAAGTCCTGCCCTTCCCTCCCTCCTTTCCTATCCAGCCCATGAGACTGACAAAATTTCCTAGTATAAATAGAACTTCACTGGCAGAAACTACGCTGATAAAAAGCTTACATACTGTTCAGGGAGATGTAGGTGATCTGCTGGACTTCAGATATGAGATCCTGTACTGGCTGGCACATCTAGCAAGGCAAGAATCACAAGTGCAAGGAGATGTGTTCAGAGGTTAGCTCAGAAAGCCTACTGGAGGTGTTTAAGAGGACAATCTTATGTTTTGTAAGCTACTCCTTCTTGCAGCAGGCAATGGATTTCTGTATGGTTTACGTTTTCATCCTTTTTGTATCTGGATTGCAAGTGAAGGTGAGGGTTTTATAAGTTACTGTTGAACTGGTGGCTTTCTAGTGGTGTAGATGGATGCCACAGATTTGAATAGTTTGGTACAAATTTTTTTTCTGAATATTTTATCTGCTTGTCTTTCCTTTCTGAAGGCTTTCTGACCTGATGCATAATTTTTAAAGTGTGCTGTGCCATACTGGTTATGCCGCTCTAACTGAGACTCTAAATACAGGGAGGAATGAACTTCCATGCTCCAGACAGACATTTGTATCTTTTTGCCTAGCCTACCAACTGTTGTTCAGTCTGTGGTTCCAGTAGATCCTTTTCTGCTGTGCTGCTGCTTAACCAGATGGACTTGTTTTGTAACTCTATGTTTCTTTTCTCTTCCTTGGTAGAGTATTTTACACACATTTCATTGATTACATGTACGTGTTGGTTTCAGACCACTTCTCAGTTTTATTGAGGCCATTTAGGTTTGTAAATGCTTGCATCCCCTCCCAGATGACAATCTTAATTTAAGTCTTTTGTTGTTGTTGTTGTTTTTTTTTAAATCATTGACTTCATTAATGAAATTACTGGAAGATAATGGACTCGGCACAAAACTTTGTGGAACACCTAAAATTATTCTCAAGTTCACATGAACCAGGTTCTGCAACCATCTACAGATGATTTAGTCTAAATGATATTTCCATGGTTAGATTTTGAGGAACATTAGGTAGGACAAAGTCAAAGGCTACATTAAGGTCAAGCTGTATCCTATTTGTTGCATTCCTCTAATATTCCAGGCTTGTTTATCTTGTCAGAAAAGAAAAATGATTCTGTTCGATACTATTTGTTCATGACAAACTCGCGTTAACTGTTTTTTATTTCTGCACTTACAGAATAATTTATCCTGGAATGCTTTCAAGTTAGGCTGGTTTGTCCGTAACCTCTGTCCTTTCCTTTCCTTTTTTTGTAGATAGCAACTATGTTTGCGTTTTTCCCCTTGTGCTGGGACTTTCCGCCTTACCCAGGAGATTTTGGTAGTCAGCTTTACGTCAAATCTGGATTGTTTGAGTCTGGCTGATGCAAATTTATCCAGTTTATCTAAATGTTATTTTACATGTTAATCCCATGAACAGGAAATAAGACTTCAGGGAATCTTCCTCAGCAGAAACTGTGCTCTCAGAGTTGTATGCAAACAGAATTTTTCCTAAAATCGTAAATAGATAAGACTGTGAACAGAAAACAATGCAATACAATTAAGGCATGAAAAAATAACTTGTGAAAGTAATATGAAATCCATAGTTAAAAAGGATAATAAGAGAGAAAAAAAAACTTAAAAGAAAAAATAGAACAAGTATTTTTACAAAAATACTAGGATCACTAGCAAGTGATCACTTAAAGGACAATGGTGTACCAGTTTTACCTAAGGTCAGAGTTGAAGAGC